CACTTTTGCTAATTTTCTCAAAATCGGTACTGTCCCGCCAAAATCGTTACGAATGGTCACCGTACTCATACCCAAAGGTTTTGAAAATCTCCCATATATTTTTAAATTTTTACAAGCGCTGTCGGTTTCTTATCTTACTTGATATGAAAAATCTTTTTGCCTTATTCATAAAAAATAAAATAGGTTTGAAGAGCTTTTCATACAAATTTTCGATTTATAAAGCAGTTAAAGGCTGCTTTGTTTTTTATGAATTTGGGTGTTAGTATTTTTGTATCGTTTGCATATACACAGCGAAAAATATGACCTAGAGAAACAAGAGTATGCTGATGGAAGTGCATGAAGTGATGAAGTGGTGGAGTAGTATAATTTCTGTTTCATTCTCATATAAAGAACGCAACATTTTCTCAGGTTTCAGGGCAACGCAAAGCAAGAGTTTCCGTATAAAAGGGAATAACTTTTTTTTGGGAAAAGAAAACGCTATTAGATTAAGTGAGATTCGGTAATCCTTAGCTATTGACCTGCCCTAATGTGCATTCAAATGAACTTAGTAACTCTTTCTTACTTACGAAGCATAACCGTTGCAGGAAATATTTAATAAAACAATTAATTATAGCTAATTACCTTGGAGTTACCCCATTTCGTTGGGCGACGCGCAATCGTAGAAAAAAGACTATATTTGAGTAAAATGGCCAGCCAACCAACCCGAACTACTTGGTAAATTACGATAACTCATAAGTGGTAACTATAAAACCGCTTAGCTATCTGGAAGTACTCAAACTTACTCAAAGAAACAAAGTAAAGCTGAAACAGTGATGAAAGGAAACCAGAAACCGCTTTAAAATTACGAATGAAGCAAAATCAATTGAAAATACTACATATATGTATTAACATATTTGTACATTAGGGTGGTCCAAAAATGCATGTGAAAAAGTAAAGTCGGAATTTTTATGCTCTCACCCCCTAGGATTGTTCTATACCGAAAAAAATATACCCTTATTTTTTTTATTTTGAAATCAAAAAATATTTAAAGGTCGTTAAAAGCTCCCAAAGTTTTCCATGTATTTTATACGGGGAAAAAACAACTTTTCGTAGAAATTTTCCGATCGAAAAAAAATTTACTTTCAAGAATTCTATACCATTTCTACGAAAAAATTTATTTTTCCCATATAAAAATACATGGAAAACTTTGAGCGCGTTGAGCGACCTCTAAATATTTTTTGATTTCAAAATAAAATAATAGGGGTATACTTTTTTTCAATATAGAACAATCCTAGGGGCTGAGAGCATTACAATTCCGAATTTACTGGTTTTTGGACCACCCTAATGTATATACATAGTTGTACATACAAGGGCATTCAATCCCGAAGCATTTTAGCAATCCCGTGATTTCAGGATGCAAAAAGTTCTTTTGCTCACAACTTTTGCATTTAACATTCGTCTTTTTTAGACCACGCAGACGTTTTTGGTCTTACAGGGAGCATTATGCACCTTAGTAAAAGAGTCCGTAATTTAATGACTAAATAATTTTATAGCATTCTTAAAAATCTATATTAGTTGTAAAAAACTCTTACTAATATCTTCAGAAATTCATTTTCCACAAAACGCCAATAATACGAAATGAGTACCAACTCTTCCACACTGTAAAATCTTTTCAATTGCTACCAGATTTTTCGTTATTACACAGTTCTTGCAGGTTCTGAAATTAAAAAACTCACATTTTTTAATTCAATTGCGCATACAATATTTAAGTGTTAAATTTTTTCACTAGGTTAGGTTAGAGTGGCTGCCCCTCGCAGGCCGAAGCCATTTCTTTCTTTCCCTCCCTTAGTAACTGAACCATCGAGTGAGTGCGTTTTATATAGCACAAAAAGTTGTGGACGTTGGCCGTGGTAAAAATTTTCAACTTTTTACTTGACATGTATAGAAGTCAATTTCATTTTAGTGTAATAATTTGCACGTTTAAAATGGCTAAAAGTTACTGTTGATTTTTTTTTAGTTTTTTTTGTTGGGGCCTTTTAATTGAATTACTTGAATTTTTAACGAATGTACATACAATGTTTAAGTGTTAAATTTTTTCGCTAATTTCTCATAAAATTATATCTTATTGATCTATAAATGAATATAAGTAAAATTTAAAACGGCAACCTGGAACAAATAGTTCATTTAAAATTTCGGACTGGCTCGTTCGATTAATTCAATGACCTAGTGCATTGAACTAACTAGCTCGTGAACTTCCCAACTCTATTAACAAGGCGAATTAAATTCGCCTTGATTGCCGAAATTAATGTTTTTGTAGTGTTGATAATGCGAAGTTGGACAGTTGCAATTGTGACTAAAAAATAAAATTTTACAAAAAGTAGTCTGCACTCTAGGTAAGTTCTTTAATGATTTAAAATTAAATAGTCAAAATTCCCCGCCACGAGTCAAATTCCCCGTAAAACGTGGAATTGCCCGCAAGTTGGCATCGCTGATACATACTCGTATGCACTATCGGTCATCAAAGCAAAAAGTTTAGATGCGAATTTTTGATTCCTTTTATGCCTGCATAAAAAATTGTTTGTTCAGGCTGCTTTGCCGGCGAATATACCTTTATTAATGATTAAGGGTCGGCTGGCTGTTGGTTAGTCACTAGCTATAAACATTTTATAAGTATGAACATATGATGCATTCTAAATGGTTTTGTACTTATGTATGTATGTAAATATAAAATACCTCTGCGATAAACGAAAATGGCACGCGACACGCTATAATCGCGCGCACAACCTCCTCATGCCTAGTTTTGTTGCGGCAATCGAGTTTTATAGTGGATCTATATAGTCTGATAAACGAACAGAGCATATCCCAGTAGAAAAAATGTCCAGCACTCTCGCGTTGAACAAAAATATTTATTTATTTATTCAATTAGTCTATGAAACAATAATTTCGTACAGACTAAATAACAATAAGGCTTAAGATATGGTATTTTATTTGAGAGGTTAGTAACAACCGCTTTGGACAAAGAAAAATCAAGGTCGATGAATTTGAAATCAAATTATTGCTGCATACTCCAATTTAGATCGCAGAAAAGGGTTATACAGGAGTACAAAGCCAAGCATTGAATATTCATTTGAAATAATAAAATTAATATGATCGGTAAATAAAAATTTAGTATCAAAGACTACACCAAAATTCTTGATTTAATTTATCAACTGGAAACCACAATTAAAGATGCTGTATCGAATATAAACTATCCAGCTCGGATTGGAGTTTCATTAAGTTGGCGGAGTTCTTAACAGCTGAATACATTTTTAGATCATCTGCGTACAAAATAACATTTGCGAAAGAGAAGCAAGAATCAAGCTTTTTCGAGCTTTCTTACCAACAGCCGCACACCGACGGTAAAAATCTTTCTGAATTAATTACATTATTTTTATTATACATACATAGAGGAGGGTGTGGGCAAGCAAATGCTACAGAAGCATAGTCAAAGGAGGCCGCAGTAAGTGGTGGCAAATTGTTGCAGCAAGAACCCAGGTTTAGGCAACAGGATGATTTGCCTTGTCTAAAACTTTGTTTGGCCTCGAAAAGTTCTTCCAGTTTGAACAGAGCTTAACGTATTAGGGAAGTTGAATCTCAAAATCAGGTATGGAAGATTCCCATCATATTTTTGAACTGTTAAACAAATTGACGTGATGTGAAATGTGTAAAAAAATGTGTATATTTACCATATACGTAATACTCCTATATTGGCAGTAAGAGCTAGTACCGTCCGAAAACACTACAGTACAGATATATCAATAAACACGTACGAAAGAAAAGGAACACATACGTTTATAAATAAACATGTACACGACACATTTACAAAACCGGCACTCAAGTACACAATACATTGACAAAAACAGTACTAGACTGTCTCGCTTTGATTTCGGGATGCTTACACATTGAGATGTTAGCTTACTATCAATATAGAAGTATTACATATATGATGTTTACTCATTTTAGGTGCATGCGTCAGCTTTTAGGTAAAATGTTTCCTCAGAATAAGTACAATTTGAAGATTTTATTTTCCATCCCTGGTCCAATCATTGGATCATGAAGAAGTTAGCGGTACTCCTAAACTTTTATTTGAGCATTGAAGTCGGTTGTGTTTTTTGCTCAAAAATTTGCGATATTCCTTTGTCTCCTGGGAACATGAGTAGAATGCTTCCCGGTCTTTTTTTTCTTGATCAGTTATAGAGCACTCTATTTCTGTATTTTCTGATCATTCATAGGTCACTCTGATTTTGTTTTTTTTTTTTTACCGCGCAAAGAGCGCTCTTTTTTGTGCATTTTTTATTGTATGGAGAGCGCTTGATCTTCCGAGGCATCAAATATTAAAAGAGAGCATGTTGTTTCGCCCATTTGGACAATATGGGTACGGCCTTACGATCAGTTATAAGCGTTCCAACGTCGCTCACAGTATGATTCCCTTATCTACTGGGATATGCAATCATATGTGAGTGTATATGACAGTCGCGAAGGCGTTGATGACAATTGATAGGAACATATGTAGATATATGTATGTGTATTTCTATACATACAATATGTATGTACTTTAAGATCGTAATACATATACAAATTCGTACATACATACTTCAAAGTAACATACAGACGCTCAATTACAAGGCGCTCGTTTGTCTAAGAGCAAATGAATCGCGTTTATTCTGTAATTGATCTTAAGCCTAGCTGGTTGGCAGATCGGATTTTGTGTCTATTATAAATTATCCATCATACTGCATGTAAAAAAGTAAAGGACATAGCGCCGATGAAAACTACAAGATTTCAAGCACGTCAGTGTCTACAGTGTTATCAATTTTGTTATCCTTAAAATTTTAGCAAGTCGTTTAATAAAAGAGCTTAATTAAAAATTGCCGTAAAAAAAAATTTACTGCATACAAAAACATAAAATTACTCTAGCGACTGCTTAAAAGTGTTAATCGTGTATTATATAAAAAGTGAAAAAACTTCTAAATTTTCAATATTTTTTTTTCTAAAAAAAAGGCTAAAGTCTACTATGCATCATAAAAAACACCAAACCGAAATGCTTGTGCTTCACAAAAACACTAAACACTGCTGTAACAAATGAATAATCGCTCAAGTTAATAGTTAATCTATATTTCAGTTAGTCTACATAAATATATTTCAGTGCATTATCCAGAAAACTATGACAATCTCACAACAATTCCGAGTGAGATGAGTTGAAATAGATAATTTTTACTATCCACTGTGATTATCATAATGCTGGATAAATACACGAATCTACTATTGCCATGCAGTCTGGGATTGATATGGATTTGGTAAGTGTACTAAGTTGTTATATACATAATTTCCATATCTTTTTGTGTGATGTCCGTTGAAAAATTTTAACTCCATTTCGTTAAATCTCACTGGATCACAAATTCTAGTTTGGTTTTTGTTCTCCAGACGCGACTATCCAAATTCTATGTAGAATTGCTCGGTGATTCCGAAAATCGGGTTAATTTGTTTTTCTATTGATACGTTTTCGAGATATTTGCATTTACCGTTATTCAGCTTAAAGCAAAAATTGGTTCCTTTTAATCACATATATCTCACGAACCGATTAAGAAAAATCTTTGCGTATTTTCATTTGGCCAGTCATTATTTCTTATTTATCCATCCATTTTCTTTGTTAGAAATTAGATTTTTTTTTTTACAGAACAGGCTTTAGTATAAATGCAAAAATTTGGCACAGAATCTGTTATTTTTTGAATTTTTCTTCTGTTAAAGTTAGATTTTTTCCATTTTTTCATTAAAAAATAAAAGAAGGTGGAATGATTAATTAATTTGTCAGAAACTATAAGCCCTATCGGAAAGTGATGTATATACGGTTTATGGAGAATTTCATTAGCTTTCATTTGCCGTACTTTATATTAAAATTTTAAAATTGGTTCGTAAGATATACGTGATTAAAAGGTACCAATTTTTGCTTTAAGCTGAATAACGGGTAAATTGAAAATATCTCGACGACGTATCCATACAAAGAAAATTAACTCGATAAGAATTGGATAGTGACATCCATAGAACATTAACCAACCAGTGTATTTAATAGAGATGTACATTAGGGTGGACCATAAAATATGAAATCTAGATTTTTTATGGGGCAACACCTTTATTTTGTTATGCGTACAAAATAAGACGGCAACGAAATTTTCAAAATTTAAAACTATTTGAAATAATAAAAATTTTTGTTAAAGGGTAAAAATTCGACAAAATTTCGATTCGAATTCAGATAAATTTGACATATTTTTGAAACTTATTCATGTAAACTCCTAAACTTGCTAAGTTATAGCTGGTCAAAGTATATTCTTGTCGAATTTTTGCAATTTAAAAAAATAAAAAAAAATGTTGTTTAACCCTGGTAGCGATTTCTTTTTTTTTTTGTAATTTTCGTGACTGTGTTTAATAATAATAAAATAAAGGGGTGATCCATGAAGTTGATATTTTTAAGGACCACCCTCATAAACAACAATAGGCATGCGCGTCCAAAAACGTCTACTTAAAACTAGCAAAATCGGTGCGTTCTTTGCAGCGCCGCAAAAGCGTCTTTAAGTTGGGCAATTCAAAGTTAAAAATTGTATTATCCTCCCCACAAATAGGCCAAGAAGAGTAGAGTTGTGTACCACATTTAGTTCTAAATCCCATTACCTGTTATGAGCACACTTGGATACAAACAACGAGTGAGATTCGATTACCTTTATTGAGTTTCCTTAGGCTGACTGCTGGCTAAACCCAAATACTGAGCTCGCCATTCCATATTTATTATTGGCTCCAAAACTGATACTGTGTTAGAATCTGGAGTTTATATCGAAGGTAATGGGGGCAATCTTCTTTTTCCTCTTGGGGCATCAGGCGATATCTCAAACCGTGGACTACATGGTGGAAAGGAAGGAGTTTAGGTGTCAAAAGTGTTGCCCAAGCTGCCCTTAAGGTATTGGCCAGCGCTCTAACTACTATCAAATTGGTTCGGCAATACAAGTCCCGACTAACGAACCATTTAGTTATAGAAGGCTCACAGCAGCCATTCCTTGATTCGCAACCAGTTATAGCACTTCTACTATCGGCCATCGAAGCCACTGTCAGAAAATACTTAGGTGAGTATTTTGCTCATCAATGACTGGGAGGTTTCGGGGGACTGTAGGTAGACAAAAATCTTGCTGCCATCTATATTAGAAGGTGTAGCATGGTATTTGTTTTGATTGAGCAGGGTATTTGCAGACAATTTGTGGGGTTACTGACGGATTACTTCCCGTGACACAACACCTGAGCTCTTTAATACCCAACAATCTGCTCCGATAAAAAGATGTTAACAACCAGGGCTTGAATTTTAAACTTGAAAAAAAGGCAAAATGAGCTTTGAAAAAGGCAAAAAATTACCACATTATTTTTTAATTTTGTTATGTACGTACCTTTATGTACAATGTTCATGTCCAATTAAATATATAAAAAAATACACACGGTAGTCAAAATATTATAGCCGAACCACTTTTTGCCAAGTTTTAACAGATTATTTTTGTTTTTTATCTAATTTTGGTTATTTTTTTCCTTAACAAAATCCGTGTAAATCCAAGTTACCAACTTTGTGCAATATTAGAAAAATTCAACAAACTTTCGTACAAATTTCGAGCTCTTTTAAAAATTGTAAAAAATCAACCGTAATTTTTAGTCATTGGAAATTTGTACTTTATTGTACTAGAATTCAATGGGCTTCAAAACTGCAAAAAAACATAGTTTAAAAACTCGAAATTTTTATGCAAATTCCTAGAATTTCTTTTTTAATTGCATAATTTTTAAGGCAGTGTCACTCGATTGGTACATTAATACAGATTTGTGCATCTCTTTACAAAATAAAGAAATCGGGACAATTTTTTTTTTTGTAGTTAAAAGCTTGGAATAATACAGCAATCTTGTTTTCAAAAATTTCAACAAATTAAAAGAAATATTTGAGTATTCACACAATTGGGATATGATTTGCACATGCACTTCGAGTGAAAGATTCAGGGTTTGGGTTTCAAATACTGGTCATTTGGGTATATTGAAAAAATAATGTTTTGGAAATAAATTAAAAAATTTACTTTTTAATATTTTATAAAGTAACTTTTTTACATTAAAAATGAGATGGCAACCCTATTTGGAAATACGCTGGGATGAATACTGCATATCTTGAGCAGATAAGTACTGTGCATACATACAAAAAAAAAACTTAAAAGCCAATTTTAATTAATTGGAAGCGATAATTTGAAAGGTCGTTCACACCAGGCATTTGCTGCTTTCAACTAAAAGTTGTATCTAAAAACGCCTCATGTAAACACCGTATTATGGAAATTAACAAAATACAAATTTGTATTACAAAGAAACCCTCCTCGGAAATATTTTCGGACTAAAGTTCCCAAAAATGCCTTTCATGTGATATCCTTATTGCGATTTTTTAGTTAAATTTTGTAGTATCGAAAATAAGTGGCAACCTTACACTAATATCCTAAGGATAACGCCTAGTATATAGGCAAAGCATTGTTTAATTTCAGTGCCCATTAATAGTAAGTAATATTGTACCTTTATTTTCTAAACAAAAAATTCAACAAATATGCGATTCACAATAGCTGGCAACCCTATTCCAAAATATTTCTGAATCGCAGATTTTTTATATTCCTTCCATTGGATACCATTATTATGATATTTTATTTAAATTGTGGCTAATTTCGAATAGGCGGCAACCTTATACGAATATCCCCAGAGATGATACTTATTTAAATATCCTTAAACTTTATCTGTAAACAAAATTTCATAAAAATCGTTAGAGCCGTTTCCAAGAAGCCAATGGATATATATATATATGTATATATTTATAAACAAGAATTGCTCGTTTAGTGCAATAAGATATAGTACTTTTTTATGTTTTTTCCGCAATATTTTAATTAAAATGTTTTAATTTTGTAACGCTTATTTCTAGGCTGACTGATTCAACGGATGCCTTAATGAACTACACGGCAAAACCACGCGTAGTTCTTCCACCTAATTATGTCAAGGGTATGTATTTGAAAATGTATCTACACAAACTATGTTAATTTTCTATTGCTTTTGGTCTTACAGAAATGAGACCACCTTCAAAGAAAGGCTCTCCAGTGATAGTAGACTTTAGCATATTTGTAGTAGATATTAACTCAATCAATGTAGAGGATATGGACTTTAGGTAAGATGAAACTAATAAGATTACACGAGAGCGTTATTAAGACTCAAAATATATAGCTGTAAAATACACATTTAAGTCCTAATTATAATTATCGAAATATTAACTTCCACTTTCCATAACACTTTTTAATTCATTTTTTAAACAAAACGTGAAAGCTCGCAAATATTTAATTGCAGCGAGGCTCACACCAAAAACCCTCTATATTAGAGGCCGGTTTCGAGGCTTTCCGACAGTAAAAGCATAAACAGACGGCAGCGTTGATCCGGATCAACTCGGGAATTAAGTGTAGTTGAGCCGGATTAAGTCCGAGTTAATTTGGATCAACGCTGCCGTCTGTTTAAGCTTTAAGACAGTAAGGACAGTAAGAGCCACCATCTCATGCCCAGTTATGCATACTTTGCGGTCTGGTTTTGAACCAGTGTTGCCTTTGTGCGCAAAAGGGGCAATTTGACCATTTTGAAAATTTTTTGGCCCTTTTCCAAAATTATGTGCGACTTTTTTCCCTTTTCAGAGATTTTGTTTTAGAACCATGCTATTAAAAAATATTTCCTCCTGTAAGAAGGAAAAAATGCAGCACTTAAAACTTTTAAAGGAAATGCAACCCTTCTTCTTGCAGAAACTCGATTTCGATGTTTTGTTTGAAGCTTGTCCCGCTATTTTCTTCTTAAATTTAATATCGGAACGTTCTAGCAGGGAATACATGTAAATTTGATTTTGATTTGTGATCTCAGAATTTTTTTTTACTAGTAAAGAAAAGCAAATATAAAATGGTAACCCTGTTTTTCGTCATTTACACCTTTTTTGCGACTTTCTGAAAATTCTCAACGGCAACACTGTTTTGGACTATTCGATTAATTTTTGGAGATTATTTTTCGTAATTAAGAGAAAACCACTTAGGCACTGGTCGAAAACTAACATTTTCGATGCAAACAAATTTCCAATTTTAATCGGTCAAGTTTTAACCGGTGAAGTACTGGTTCTTTTCGGAAAATTGGACGTCTTATTTCTGCAGGGATTGTCTACCGATACCAACGCCATTTTTTTTGCGGTCAGCCCCTTGAAATACGGTATTTTATGTAGTGGCGGTTGTGGGACCTCTACTCGACTCTGAAATTAAACCTGTACAACCTCAGCCTTTGGCTAAACCCACCTCAAAATTGAATGTAAGAAATGCTCGAATTGGGCCCCAGTTTTTAGTCTCTGCAACTTTTACAAACGTACAGATACTTAGACGCCTTCTAAAGTATGGTGGACTCAATCCTGTATCTAAAATTCAAGTTAAGTATTTATAGGAGTTGCAAAGCAAAGTGAATGTACTAAACGGGTTCCCCGTATAGTTCAGGTTTCTACGGGGAAAAGAAGGGCTACCCAAATTTGTAACCTTCTGCGTGAAATATCTGGGTTCGGTTAAACGATATCCGAGGAAAAACTAAGCATTTGTGGACGACGATCCAGCTTCTCTACACGAAACTGCATATAATAAAGACCTCTTTCCCGTTAATAGGGTGATATTGGTATTTTTTATGTAGTAGATTCCACTACTGGACATTTTTTAATAGCCGTCAGTTGGACGCTAAAATGTATGAGCTTCTTGGTATGGAAATGTTTCAAGGAAGAAACCAAAAAGTGCACATTATCAAGCCGAAGGCTATATAAAAACAACAATAAGGCACCAAAAATGGATGGTATGCTGGCTTAAAAGTCTAAATATGACGTGAAAGAGGAAAGTTTGCACCAAATACCGCTATGTAAGCCGCACCAAGATGGCTTACAAAGTCCTATTAGTTAAGGTCTCATAAAAAACCTACTGTTTCTTATCAACGTGACTTCTAACCTGGCAAATCCACTATAGGTAGTTGAAATTGTCATAGTGTGTACTATCGTGGAAAAGACCTTACACCTGTTACAAGCTTTTTTGGGCTGCAACTTCCTCTACACAATTAAAATATATTCCAAAGATATTTGCAAGAAATGGTTTGAATTTTATTCACTTGAAAGTACTTTATGCTTTTTAAACAGATCCTGCTGCGTCCACAACCCAAGAGCGTAAAGCAGACACATCAGAGTATACGCCGGGATAGTTAGGATAAGCACAGCCGTAACCCCAGGATACAACGCCTACCAACACTCCGCCAGAAACTAATGGGCCACCAGAATCACCCTGGCATGAATCCTTGCCCGCTGTGTACGAGCAGATCATAGTTGATCTTACCTGGCTACCGTAGCCATAAGTGTTCGAGGCGCAATCAGCCAAACTGACAATAGACAA